CAATGGGCATTCGACCGATGCCAGATTGGCCATAGTGCAAGTGGGAGATTGTTGGAGTTGGTGCCCTTATGGCCAACTGCTGTTGTAATATCTTAGATATTTTCTATCATGTAAAGGCAGATGCATTAAGTTTACAAACATCTCATGCTAATGTAAACTCTTAATTGCATTCCTAGAATTATATTATAAGATGTTTATCAGAATGAGTCTTCTGATGTTGAGACTGACATCTTGTCACTTAGTATAATTCTAAACGGTCTATAGTCGAAGCATTAACGAGAGTGGGATATCGTTAGTGCGCGTGAGACTAGTGAGAGTTAGATGTTTGACCTAGTCTCTTGGTCAATGACGGAGTGTTCGCATGTACTCTCGGGCAGATATTATCGTTAATAATAGGATGCCAGACCTGACCCACCTTAAGGACATTGCCTAGACTTTTAGTCTATGCTCTAAGTGTCCTTAATGCGACTATTGTTATAACGATCATTAGACTTGAAGTATTACGTTCTTCGAATGCGTGAACCCGTATGCTTTGATTCATTGTCCTAAGACGTATTAAATAAGGATGGTACACAGGCTTTGTATTGGGCATGCCGCTGCACGTATTCGAAGACGTAGATTACGTACAAAGAATTTGTCACTGCTACTTAAGCAGAATAATGTCTTGTAGGGGCCACTGATAAGTATGACTGAGGAAATGCATGGCCATGCTGAGATGAGTTTAGACATCTGTTCTCATCAGTCAGACTTGTTAATTAGTAAATAAATTAATGGCTACAAGTTGGATATTTTATATCCCTTGCACTAAGTTAAGACATTAGGACAAAAGGATCTACATTATACAAAGTCTTAGTCGTAGAAAGGTTTTGACGAATCAAACGTCTGAACTTATAATCTGGGAGTAATAATGTGTTGCTAGATACCGCTTATTACTTATAGTATTGGTGTAGAGTCAATACTGTGGCCAGTTTTATAAGTGCCTATATGGGTCACACACTTTGAACAATTTAAAGAGTAGGATTATAAGAAGGGATAATATTTAATTTGTATATTGTAAAATAGTAAAATAAAATGTTTAATATATATATATATATATATATATATATATATATTAGCCCGAAAACTCCACCAAAGTCAGTGGGGTAAGGTCCAGGCCGCCCTTACCAATATCATTAAAGTCGAGTAAGTACACGTTCGGGGAGGACTAGACCAGAGCCCCGAAAGTAAGAAAGAATACGAGTTCGGGGAGGACTATACCGAAGCCCCGAAAGCAAAAGCCAAAAACACAAAATAAGAAGTAAAGGTAGATGAGACAAAAGAGGAAGGAATTCTTCTATCCCTCTGCGTCAACTTCTAACCCCACATCTCGTTCGATCAGTTGAAGAAGAGACTAACAGGTGTGTCTTCTTTCTTTGCAATGTTCTCTGGCAAGGTAGGGTTTGAGGTTCAATGCTTCAATCTCTTTCTTAATAGCAATGGCCTGAGCTTTTTTGTTCGACCAAAACCAGTGTTGAATTAGTTTTTGGATTTCAATGATAATCCCCACCTTTGTTGGTTTGTGATCCTCATAAATGCATCTATTGTAAGTCTTCCATAAGATCCATAGTATACATCCAGGAAGGATTAGCTTGAGTAGACCACGGAGAGATGTTTTTTTAAAAGTG